GGAGGGGCCGCGTCTCGCCTGACCGTTTCGCGCCGCTCCGCACCGGGTTTTGCAGCTCCCGCCATGCGGGGCCTACGCAGACCCCGCCGTGGTGCTGCTGCATGCTTCGTGCAGGCTGGGTGCTCCACTGATGTGCGCGGCTTCTCCTTCTTTCTGAGGGAGCGGAGCTGGCTGACTCGCCAGGAGGATTTAATTTCTCAGTTCCTTTCGGATTCATATTTTCTCCAGTTTTTCGTTTGGTTTAGTGCCTTAGCTTGCTTTTGTTCTGTATATTTGTAATGACTGGATGCTTGCTGATAAATGAAAAGTTTTTGCTTGTAGTTGTAAGATGTTGACATGATCAGAGCAATATCTGTCTTCTCTTTAGCATTACTGCTGGAGGTGTAATGGATGTTAACACTGCCCTGCAAGAAGTGCTGAAGACCGCACTTATCCATGATGGCCTAGCTCGTGGTATTCGTGAAGCAGCCAAAGCCTTGGACAAGTAAGCCTGACTTTCCCGTTTTGACTATGGTAAATCACAGAACGGCACAAGGTCTGTTGAACACGTGCAGTGGTCACTTTGCTCAGATGTTTAGTTGAAAGCTTTTGCAAGACCCTGTTTTTCTGCCAACAAGTTCTGTCTTTTTCTATCTCTTTTTCAAGGTCTTTAACTGTAATCTTAAAATACAGATGCTAAACTTAGTGATTCAAGAATAACAGCATCTAGTGTATTCAGCTTCCGTCTTTTTGTGACCCCAGTGCCATCGAGTTTTCATGTGGACTGGTTTTGTGAAGTAAATGGAATGGCACTTGCGGTATGTAATTATGAAAATCTGGGACTCAAGAACCTTGAGTTCGAAGAAGTGATAAAACTCTTTTCAAAACTAAGATTTTAATTGGGAGGGTTAATACATGTCAGACTGAACCTGGAAGAATTGGTTTAGTTTTATGAAGCAAACCTCAAATTCATAGCTTGCCTTCACTGCTTTTGTTAGCTTCAGGGTTTTTTTTGTATCACAGCTGTGAATAACTGGCTTTGGTACAATATCAAAACAATATTAAACTTGTCATGTATATGCCAACCATGGTAATCAGATACGGTTTCTTGGTAGGGTGAAATACTGTGTACATACACACATGCACATCTCTTGTGTATGTATGTATAGGCACATACTTTTAAGAATAGGCAGTGCTTAAGTGAAATGCTGCAGCGTTTGGGTGATGACTTAACAACTTGTCGGATACCCCTTCACTCTTCTTATGAGTGAGACCAGCAGTCTGACAAACCTGTATGCAAAAAGCTCTTAAGACGTGGTACCAAATAATGGAAGAGAAATACTACTTAGGTGGCTGGCAACTGGTTTGTAAGAGTTGTTACAATTTTATATGCTGTGTTAAGAGGATCATGTACAAAGTTTATATACCTATGAATGTGATGGGTTTTGCTTGGAAACATTGTTTCTGAAACATTGTGACGAAACTCACAATGAAGGAAAGGAGGTCATAGAGAAAACTGACTTTATTTACAGTGGTCAAATTACATTAGATTAAGTATGGAAGACCTATACAGCTCTCTCTTGTCAGGTATCCCTTTGGTATTCTTAACATTGTACCACAGTATACAAAGATCCTAATTAGAAATGGGGCCCTGTCATAACAGCTTCTTTGAATGTAAGTAGAAAAGATTGTTTTGAAGAGCTTATAACTAATTGATATGGAAATACAAGCTTTTAATATTTGCAGTTCTAATGTTAAGTTCTTACTTGTGGTAAACAAGAAAAAGCAACTTGTAACTCAGTTGCTTTTTAATAATGACACAATTCTGCGTGGGACTGGTGTATACCCAGACATTACACCTTTTCCAAATGGCTGAGAAATTTAGTGGGATTTTTAGAAGCTTCCAAAACTGGAATAGAGTAATCTGATTATAAATCTTAAGAATGTATGAGTAGTCTGTTATGTATATGAAAACCTTAAATAGTAGTAGATCATCTCAAAAGTAGGTTAGTATTTCTAAAGCCTGTGGCGTCTCAAAACCAACTTAGGAAGTGGTTATCACTTCATGCACTAGCTGAATTTTGTTCCACAGTTTTGATTATCAAGCTGTGTCTAAAGTTAAATTGTATTCTTTTTTAGACGCCAAGCCCATCTTTGTGTTCTGGCTTCAAATTGTGATGAACCCACATATGTAAAATTAGTTGAAGCACTTTGTGCAGAACATCAGATCAACTTAATAAAGGTAAGTGTCAGAACTTCAGACACAAGTTTGGAACAGTTATCCCGATTGCAATATAAGCTGCTTGTTTCAGCATACAGAGAGGTGACTCTTTGAAACACTGTGCTGTAATTCTGTATATAGCTTATCTAAGCAAAATTCTTCTTGGCAGCAGAGATTGTTTTAGTTCCGAGTGATTGTCATAGGAGCAGTACAAAAGCTGCATGTAAATGGAAAAGAATGTGTATCAGATTTTACAAAGTTAAAACTATTTTTTGTTTTCTGACAAGAAATAGATTAATTCTGCAAGTAGTTGTGGAACAGAAGGGTCTCAACATGACTTTCTTCAAAGCTGTACAGTGATGATACTTTGGCTCCCTCTACTGATAATTTTGAGGAAAGCAGCCATCCGTTACCCAATACTTCTGAGTACAGCAGCTTTTTTGCTGAACCCAGTTATGCTGGAGATTGCTAGTTCTGATGTGATGCGATGTTTTACACAGGTTGATGACAACAAGAAGCTGGGTGAATGGGTAGGTCTCTGCAAGATCGACAGAGAAGGAAAACCTCGCAAAGTAGTGGGCTGCAGTTGTGTTGTTGTCAAAGTAAGATGATGCTAATTATAGCTTCTTGAGTTCTGAAAATAAGCAGTAAAGATAAGGTGGCTTTAGATAATGGACTATTAAATAGATCTCATGTTTTTATTTTTTTAAAGCAGTTGCTTTCCATTGTTGATAGTGAAGATAAACTGCTTCCCTGTTTTATATCCCTTTCATGTGTATTTATAATACTTGTATTAATTTTGTAAGTTAATGCCTGTGTCCTTAAAGTATCTGTGCCCGCTTGCCAGTAAGCATTAAAGGACAGAGATTTTAACTAGAAGAGATCAAGTTTTGCTTTGGGGGGAGGAAAAGAAATGCCAGTTCGATGTGTCTGCTCAACTTGAAAATGTTCTGCAGAGCATATTTTAAAATGAACTGGTAAAGTAAAGCCACAGTACGAGCCTTGAAGACTTTGTTGTCTTTGAGGTCCCAAGAGATGGCTACATCTTCACAGTAAAGACTAATCCCTTCTTTATATGTCTTTATACTTTGGCTACTGTTTCCCATACTTGGCTTTATTTAAACAGAAATGAAGACTTACACTTGAATGAAATAGAGTAGTCCTTTATTAGAATAGTTTTATTAAGAGAATGAAAGGAAAACAGCTGGCAGATTGTTTGAGTTTACTTGTATGGAAATTGGGGGAATATTTTGGATGTCTTGACAAAAAGTGTCAACCTCAGTTGTCCTTTTAAAAATAGTTGTAAAATTTTGAATGGGTCTGTGTGTTATTAATGAGTTATCTTGTGTGTTACAGGACTATGGCAAGGAATCTCAGGCCAAGGATGTCATCGAAGAGTACTTCAAGTGCAAGAAATGAACGGAAAATAAAATTTTGAACCTGACACGTGTGTGTGTGTGATTAATGGGTGGATACCTGTGGAACAGTTCTTTGAGTTGTAACAGGTAACATCAGAAGATTAAAGGACTTTTCAGGTCTTGATATAGCTATTACTTTGTTAACTGTCAGCTTGCTAAAATGATAATGGCGATCCCTGCCATTCCTGTTCTTGGGTACTTCTGTTTCCTGTTCCACCCCAGAGGGTACCAACTTGCGAAACTTGGCACAGCTCACCTGCAGAAGTACTATCGATTACTACCTTTGCTTGGGCCTGTACTTCTGAAGGGATTATGAGTATCTTGTTAGGGGGAAGTCCAAAGTACTGCTGCATCTGTGATGAAAATTTGGCTCCCTCTGCTGAAACAAATGAGGAGAATGGCCTTTACCGTTACCCAAGTCTTCTGAGATGTTGCAGGAAATTTTTAAATGCTATCCTAATATATTAGGGACGTTACTTGACACAAGGTGTGCTTTGTTGTTTGGTTTCCCCTTCCCCCAGTTCTGAAGCTAACTGAATGAAATAAGCTTCTAGGAAGTATTGTCATGAACTTCTAGATACTTTGTAGGAGTCTCAGTAGTCAGGTAGCCAAGTAGCTGAGATCTCATCACTGCTCAAAACCAGGCATTGAACTCTGACTTGCCTGGTGTCTTTAGTTTCCATAGTAGTTGGATGATTTACGGAATTTGTAAATTTTTTGGGTACAAGGTGGGATTCAGACTGGAATTTAAGGTTAATTTATTTTCTTCCTCCTGCAAATTATGTATGTCTTCCATTTCCTGTGGAGCAATTCTAAGTGCAGTCATAAGGAATTGCTGCTGTGTAGCTACCAGTAGCTAGATGTGGGTGACTTGGATTTTTGAGAAGTTCCTGTAGTCACATTTTCAGGTCTCCTTAATGACAGTCACCTGTGCCAAGTCTGGCCAAATACAGGAAATGTAATGCTGTGGTGATACATGTTCGGTTTTGTCTGAGAAGTTCTCTGTAAAGTGGGTTAAAAGTGTCTGTGAACATTTTAGTTAATGTCATGCTAGTATTGCAAATGGAAGTAAACAGAAATTTATGGATGTTACCTCTTTCCATTTGGATGCTGAAATGACAGATTTCCTCCTGTAGGTTGCAGACCTTACTTCATTAAATTACTGGAGGTTTCTAAACACTGAGAGTAGGCATGGTTTATAAAAAAAAAAATCCTTTTTAAATGGAGTTGAAAGACTATTGGAAAACTTCTCAGTTCAGTTTGGCTAAAAATTTTGAGTATATTGACTTTCACAGAAGCACCACAAAAAGTACACTTAAATCTTTTGTCCAGTTTTAGGAAGCTGTATCTTCTAAGAGTTTGGGATAAAACAGTAATGCTATTTGTTCTTCAGGCTTTTGTTGTTTGCAGTGAAATTCTAAGAGAATTGTCTGAAATGGTAGTGGTGTTCACAGTATTAATAGGATTTATGGTTTGCTTTTCCTTGGCTGGCTGTTTTGTCAGAGTTACGACGGGAATTGGGATCCAAAACCGGAGCATGGATCCTAATTCCAAAAACTGGAGCCATAAGTTCTATGGCCTGTGTATTGCTGAGGTTGAAAATTGTTTCTTAATTGAACATGCTTCCGTACCAGCACATTTTTTACCTGCTAGGAATAGTAAATTCCTCTTAATTCCTTGGATCTCTGGATGCAGGGTAACAAACATGCTGTTTAATAAGCCCCTTCAGGGTAGTGGGTGAAGATTTTTAGAAAAGATTAAATCCATAGCCTTATATTCTCAAATTTGAGGAAGCTTTTGCTAAGCTTCTGCAAGCAAACTGAGCTTTTCCAGATGTTTGACTTTTTGGCTAAAATAGAGCATTTTGTTGTCACTTTAAACACAGTATGACTCGGGAGAATTGAGAAGAGTGAGGGATATAGGAAAGGATATCAATGGGAGAAGGAAGAAATGTTTGTGTCCAGGTTAACTAATTCTGAGATCTTTAAGGAAAAGGATCCATCACTGAAAAGGATTAGTAAAAATAAATTTGATAACATGTTGCTTTAGTAAAATTCTGAAGAAGTTGTCTGCTGTTCATACTTTACCTCCATAGAGGATGTGGAAGTCTGTTTGCCTTTTGTATTTAATACCTGAAGTTGTTCATCTTTGCACTTCCCTCAGTATTTATGGAAAAGATGATTCAAAATAACATGCCGCATTGTGGTACCATCACTGGATTTCCTGCCCGGCCCAGCTATAATGCTTTAGAAATAGGATTTGCTGAGTAAAGAAAAGATGTTCTGTGGGTATTCACAGCCTACTAGAAGGCTGCAGAAAGATTACATTTGTCTGGCTAGGCTGGAATAGTACAATAACACCAGTTTCAGCTTTGCGCTAAAGGTAGGCAAGATGTCCATTCTCATGCATCTGGAGCTAGCATACTGCATGTGACAGGAGCAGTGAAATTCCTTGTAACAAGTGTTTTAAGTTAGGTTTTTTAAAGACATATGGGGAACAGGCACACTGTATCTATAGTTGTATAAGACTTAGGAATTGTTAGTACATTCTGAATTTATATTTAGTCAAGCTATGAGTCTTAATTGTAAATAGATCCTTCAGGAGCTTTACATATTTTAAACGTGCAAGCAATTTGAGAAGTGTCCAGCACACTCCAGTTATTCAACTTTACAGCATATTCTACTTCATTTAACACATTTCAACTTCCATGTGAGAAAAGTAACATCATCTATCAAAATGTTTTTTGTTTCATTTCTACCATGGGCTATTGGAATTGCTACTTCAGCAGTAGCTGGATTATACGTTTCCTCTTAATTACTATGCTATGATCAGTTAGCTGTTGGGAAAAGGAGTTCCAAGTAATGAGCTCTAGTCCACAAGCAAGTTTAAGCAGTGCAATAATTGAATGATACCTCAATGTAAGTTCAGGGCTATGTTTGTGTTTTGTTTTAAATGTCGCCTTATTTTACATAGCAATGAATATTAGTACTAGGGCATGACAACTCTTCATGCCAAGTTTTTTTCACTGGAACAGAACTAACACTTCCTAAATATTTTTGCTAGAAGGAATTGGGTTAAGATCTTAATTTTTTGATCAAAATGCTTAGGTATAAGGTCAGAGGATTCCTGTAATGTTTTGTTTCTTGGAAGTGACATTAGAACCTATGCAGGGTCAGTGTTGGAGAACAGGTTAAGAGTTTATTTACTGAAGACTATCCCTAGTGCTTGATATATTTTCAAGAATTTCTTGAGGACTAAATTCCACCCAAACATTCTGGTTAATCTTTTGTGAAAATAATTTTGGTTTTTACTCAAATTGGCCAAGGAAGACAAGTCCTTCTTCATACTGGAAGACTTGGCATATGCTTCTCTGAGACCTCTGCTTTGTAGACAAAAGAGATTCAGTTTTTTCTCACATTCTTGAGAGATTTTTTTTTGTTTGTTTTGCTGTAGAAGATGTATTGATATTAACATGTCCTGCAGGATTTCAGAGGAGTAGACTTTGGAACACTCCTTAAAGTATAGCCATCTGTAGTTATCACCCAAAAGGATGTGATTAGCATTAAACATGGGATTGGGAGTTTGAGTTTGACTCAATGAGGGACTGACACTCATTTTTCCTCTGTTGTTGATTATATTTAATGTTCCTTGCAGGTTTTCTTTGTGAAGCAGGGATAATGCAGAATGGCTTGCTCAATGGTACATGCTTTGTGGCTTTTGATTGGCAGAAGCAGCAGAATGAGATTCTTTTTCTGGACTAAAATACCAGGTTTTAGTGGGTTTTGCATTGATTGGTAGTCCTTTCCAGACCTTACATTTCCATGTGAAGTAGAAAGCTAATGAAGTATTTTGAAGAAATGCTGGTAAGTCATTGGGAGGGTGCTAAGTACAGATGTTTAGACTGTGTTGGAGGAACGTCCTTTGTGGGATTTCAAATAAAAATGATCTTGAGAACGGTTAAGCTCATTTTGTTTTGGAACCTGTATGTCATCCTGGCCAGTACTGCTTTTCTGCATTTTGTGCATTTTGCCTTGCATCGTAAAAACTTGAGCATCTGGACAGCACCACCACCATGTATTTGCAGAGATCCTGCTCTCGTGGAGTTGTGGTCATGACTGGTTCCTGTAGAGGAGTTGGTTATGCCTGACCTCCACTCT